TTCATGCTCCACTTGGGAGCGGTAGTTTTCAGCACCATCGTAGTAACGGTTTAGTCCGCCTATTTACCTGTTGTTGCACTGCTACGGTCCAGTCGAGTATTCGAGTCGATTATCCTTTTACCTGACGCAGTCCTGGAATGAGCGACTCCGGAAACCTGTTGCTCCGGTTGATGGACCGACCGCGCGATGCGATGGTCGAGAGACGACCGGCAGCCTGGTTGCCTGCCTCATTGGTCTCCGTGCCTACTGCGCCTACCAACGAGACCGGCATCGGCAGGTGCAAACCAGGATAATAAGTGGATTTTAAATAATTCCAACCTGTGGATGGCATGCCTATAGACACGACGTCAGTCATTGTGACAAGGCAACTTGGCGTTGCCACAAGCGAAACTGAATATTTTCATTTATAATTCTTCAGCCGTATACCAGGTACCTACCCATGCATCTATCTACTTACTTATCATTTATTTTATAAAAACTAGCAGCAAACTGATGGTAGAGATTGCGTTACGACTATAATTACGATTCAATCTTGACCTGAACTTAAAACAATTCTAATATCATTAAGAACCCTTATAATTTCTGTAAGTACCTATGTTTAATACATAAATTCGTGAACCATGGTCTTTTTAACTGATAATTTCCCATAGTAAAATTTAATCGGATATAACATTATTTTAGATATCTAGGAAGTCCGATAAGTCAGGACGGAAGGAGTAGTAGGGATATAAAGGAAAGGATAGCGCAGGGTCGAGTCGCCTTCAATAAAAAGAAGTCACTTATATTCTCGCGAATGGTTAATATAGAAATTCGAAAAAGATTGTTCAAGGTGTATGTATGGATCGCTGCGCTGTAGGGATGCGAAACATAGACGGTAGGAGTGGCGGATAGAAAACGTCCGAAATGTGGTGTTACAGGAGAATGATGAGGATAGTGTGGATAGAGAAGGTTAGAAATATAGAGGTACTAGAATCAATAGAACAGAAGACTGTGGAAATCAATAAGGAATAGGCGAGATAGGTTGCTAGGACATCTTCTCAGGCATAAAGGTCTAGTCAGAGAAATATTAGAGGCAGAAACGGGAGTTAGGAGGGGTAGAGGTGGACCTAGATTAGATTACTGTTCGCAAATAGTTAAGGATTGCGGGATGTTCTAGTTTTAGGGAAGTGCAAAAATTAGCTCAGGATAGGAAAGAGTGAAGGTGCATGTCCAACCAGTCTTAGAACTGACGACCTTATGTTGATGATGTATAGGTATGAGGTTTTGATTAACGTTAACTTATTAGTATAATTTTGTCATACTTTTAGTGTTTGTAAACATTATAGGCCCGTTTGAACGCTTTCAACTTCATCCTCTCGTTAAAAATCAACCAACCAAGAATAAAAATTTCGTTGGTTTAGTGTTAAAACGACTTTTTGAACCAAACTGTAATTTGGGGTGTTGGTAAGGGTAATATTGAATGGAAAGCCTGTCAGAACGAAGACTTGAACCATGAACAGAAGTGGTTTTTGCTGGGTACCCAGTTGTCCGATACCAAACAGAATCACTATCCGCTGCATCTCTAGTCTACTCGAACCCCAACAAGGCAGAAGATAGGATTGTCCAATTCTTCGTAATGTCATACGTGTGTTGGAGTTACTTCACAAAATCTTTAAGAAAAAATCATAAGGCATACTTCACTTCAGTATCGCTGATTTTTTGTAGGGATCTTCATGGGGAATCAATGGGGAAATCCGTCTATTGCTATCCCCTCATTTGCCACCTGAGGTACACACGCTACATGAGGCATGTCCTCTATAAATTCTAATCAGGTAGAAACCAATTTTTTTCTATGGTTATCTTTATAAAAACAATAGGTGATGAAATATTAATCCATTAGGTAATTCTTGCTTTTTTATCATGAAAGCAGTTGATAACACACCATGTCGTTTGGAATCATCATTTCTCAACGTGTTTCGATCGCCCTTTTGCATAAATAAGCAATAAATTTTTAAACCCCTTTAGAGATAAGAGTGACTTACAACAGGTACTTCACGTTACTGCACGTCATGTAATTTGTGTATTGTTCTAACATTTTGTGAGGGTAGTACCTATCCCTCCATTTACAAATGTAAATCACAAATTACCCGTTGTTCTACCTTATCGTCGGGCCGTGTCAAGCGTGAAAAAATGATAAATTCCGAGCATTTCCCATGTGTAATTGCTGAAGAATGAAATTTATACATAGAACACAGCAGTAATAAAAAGAGGAGGTAGATATAGAAATGAAAATTTTCTTAATAAAACCAGATCTATACTCATTTGTATATTTTTTTTTTAATCATTAATTTAAAACTATTCGTTATAGTCAATCAATGAAAATTTTCAAGATTAAGAATTTATTTTCGAGTTTTACTAATTTTGCTATAGTTCTATTTGATAATCAGGGCCGTAGCGAGGCCGGTTCAAGCGGTGCGGCGCACCGGGGCCCCCGCAGTCGAGGGGCCCCTTAACAGTTTTCTGTTTTCAAAAAATGACTTCTAAAAAAAACTATACTGTTAGAGATGAGCTGAGTCAAACTACGAAATGAACATCATAATTTTTTATTTTACTTTTTTCTATATCAATTTTTGTCACAATACTCCATATATTTGATCAGGTAAATAGTAACATGGAATGCATATATCTCGAAATCGCGAATACTTCTACATTCATGGTTTCCTTAAATTCGTTGATATAATTATCATTGCTACCATAAAAAATTACTAATTGCTGACCATAAATCTATATCACCCGAAACATCACTATAGAATTCATTGCACAAACATCAAGTGCCTGCTCTTATTTCTGAAACGTTTTTTTTTCTCGATTTGATAGCAGCAAAATCATCAATAGTTATATCGACATTTTTTTTAATGACATTTTTCTGATCATCAATTTTAAGAAGGGCCCCTTGCGGAATACCACACCGGGGCCCCGAGCTCATCGCTACGGCCCTGTTGATAATATATATGATGTTTTATTTGCTAGTCATTAACTGTTGTTGCATGGTGGCAGACTTGCAGTTAAATAATTATTATCAGTACTCTACTACAGCATGGTATGGAGTAAAACCTTTTGTCTGACTATACATGATAGTTTACTGTTCCCTGATTAGCTACGTTTTTTATATTAAAACTAACATTATGTTTGGGGCTGTCCTATTCGACTAGGATCTTGTCAGGACGTTGTAGGCTGGAGTGCACAAAAATACTCAATTTTTTGATAAATATTATAATTCAGTCCTCCGGGGCGACATCATTCGACATTCATGAAAAAATATTTCCACAGTGACATTGCGGACAGGAATTACAACAAATACTAGTATAATTTTAACAGGTGGCATTTTCTTTCGGGATTTTCAGTTTCTTTAAAAAAATTAATTCAGTTCTCTTCCACCGAATTGATCGATGATATGATTCTGGACATCATTATTATTTATACCCGCTTTTCTTTCAATTTCTGCATAGTAGACAGTATACACATACGTATGTTCCATGTTGTTGAACAACCTCGTCACGTTTAATAAACCTTCGTACTGCTCATAGTCTATAAAGAAGACATCGATACAAGCAATTATATTTAAAATGTCGCTGTACAATAAGTCAAAACAAAAATGTTTTTATAATACGCACAACATTACACATTATATCCCTCGCGCCAGATACCGAAAGCCATATGGCATTCATGTAATGATAGTGATAATAATAATAAAATTAACAAGCGATTGAAGAGACCCAGCAAATGCTTACCAGCACTGATCTCTTGCTTGCTGCCTCTTCTTTCGCAATTATCGACTCAATCGACATCGATAATCGCATCATTATTCTTGTCATCGTCAAACGTAATTAATCACATTAATATTTGACCCACTTATTGATAGAGATAACGGCACAATTGTTTTTTATTATTAACTAGCTTTTAGCCGCGACTTCGTCCACGTGACTATAATAAATGCAATTGTTAAAACTAACAAACAATTTTAAGAGTAGCCTAAGTCGTTTAAAATTACTTGCCCTCATGTCTATAAAGTCCCATCAAAATCAGTTCAGACGGACAGACAAAAAGTAGCCTATACGATGCCTGATTAATTTACTCCACCCCTAACCTATTTAGTGTCTTTTGGTGGATATTATTTAAATACCAAAAAAACACTAATAATAACAAATAACAATTTATAATAACCAGAACAAAACGAAAACACAAGTAACAAAAAGGAACAAGGAGTGAAACATACAACAAGAACAAAGTAACAGAAAGAACAAGATAATACAACAATAGTAACAATAACAAAGATAACAACAATACAACAGAGTAGATAAAAGCACTTACGAATGGTGGTGATAGCGGTAGACGAGAGACTGTCTTGAGATAAGAAATTTTCGAGTATTTATAGGATAGGGTTGTTAGTAATTTTGATAGAATGTTCTAGAAGGAAAAGTAGTGAGAGAGAGGGTGAAGACACTAGTTTCTAGGAATACACAGAATTAGATAGTACAGAATTCAAGAGAAAGCAATTAAGGGTAAAACCAGATATTAGTATGGGAGTGCATGCAGGTATGGTTGAAGTTGGATTTCCAGGTAAAAGTGATTGAAAGAACAATAGAGTTTAGATTGAAAGGAAACCAAAGTATTTACAAGATAAGAAGTTGAAAAGAATTGAAATAATATTTGAAGTGAAATAATATTCGAAATGAAATATTATTTGAAATGAAATATTAATTGAAATGGAAAAATTAGAAAAAAATATTTACACGTAAAAAAAACAAAAACAGTTATTTCGCCACACCTATTTGCAAATATTTTACATTTATTTTTTAAAAAAATATCAATTATAGTCAACATTTTTTCCAACGCCTTTGGACACGAGATTCTTCAGTCTATGAAAACCATTGATTTACCGCAAATATCACCCTTATCTAACTAAAATCGTTTCGTATTAGAATATTACTCTAACAGAATCGTTTTCTGTTTGGTTTCAGGTGCATTTATACTTCTCGGCATTGCCAGAAGACAAAGTTCCTTACGTAAACTCGGTAGGCGAAAGGTATCGTGTCCGACAGCTCCTCCAACAGCTTCCACCTCACGACAACGAAGTTCGCTATTGTCATGCACTCACGGACGAAGAACGGAAGGAGCTCAGGCTCTTTTCCGCACAACGGAAACGGGAAGCCCTTGGTCGAGGGGTTGTCAAACAACTTCCGGCATCCATGACTTGTGACGCGGTGAGTTACTGTTATATAAATCTAGACAATAAATATGATAAAAGTCTATATACAATGTACGTATTTACATATAAATTCGTACTAATTGCAAGTAGTAAATTAATGAAAAATACAGCAACGGACAAAAGTAATTGGTCCAAATATGCAGACGAATCTAGTACTTAATGAACAGTAGTTTCGACAAAGTTGAAAGCAATGCGATTATCATCAAAATAATGGGCATAATAACTGGCACCATATCGCCATCTATAAGTATTTACTGCTAATTATAGTAGCTATAAATGGCTGATCAAGAACTTAATGTTCTTTATTTAAATGGTTTGCGTGCCTATCACGTATTTAAGTTGCGTTGTAGATTTGGTTTGGCATGTAAGTCCGTGTCATACACCATGAATATCTGCAGATAGTGATATATGTACTAATTGCCAGTTAATTGAGAATAAATATTTTTATCTCAGGGGAATTATGCTCAGGAGAACGAAAAATTAGTAGTCTAGGAGCTAGGCAAAAAACTATAACGTAATAGATAAACTTTATTTCAAAATGTTCGGATGACAAGGTGGGAAGGCTACGTTTTCCAAGCAGGCTGACAACCCATTAGGGACAAGGGGTAGACCCTTACTATAATAAACTTAAAATACATCGCAAAAGAAATATTAAATATTATCTCTGTTAAAAAAAGTAGAAGAACAGAAGGAGTTACGGAAAATAGGACGATAGGACACCTACTCAGACATGAAGTACTAGTCAATGACATATTAGAAGTAGCAGGTTAGGTTAGGGTGTATGTTCCTGTAGATTGGCTCAAGACAGGAAGAAGTGAAGGCACGTGTCCAACTCAGCTTTGGTCTGAACACCTTATTATGAAGATGATAAAAAGAGGAAGGGGGTTAACAAATACTTTACGATTCCCTACGAAGAAGGGCAAGAATTAGGGAAAATAGCTCTTATATAGAACAAACAGAAAAGCTCAAAACCCGAACACCAAAACACGACACTGTAGTTGTCGTGTTTTGGCGTTGGGATTTTGAGCTTTTCTGTTTGTTCTACAACAACCGCCAATGTTTTTCCAATCTTCATAGCTCTTGTATAATTTATAGACGGCTCCTTAATAGAAAGTGTAAAGTTCCTGCTTCTTTACAAATTGTAAAAGTCGACAATAATAAACTTATCTACAAATGAAAATGATATTGAGGTAACGGCTACTTTTTTAGTTCATTAGTTTATTTACTGAGCTCATTCATATACAAAACTTGTTCATCACGAGTAATTGGTTCGATTTATTTATAAATACCTACGTATTAATTTCCCACGTTTGTCCAGAAAATGATAAATATTCTCGATTCAGTGTTTTTTGTCCCAACAAAAAGAGCTCCTTTGGAAGTGCCCCCCTCATTTGTACAAGGATTAGTAACGCGTCGAAAAAAGGCACCGGACTAATTTATAAGGCTTCATGTATGGAAGGTATCTCTACCCGTGTATTCGTTAACGACATCATTTTTTATAGAAATATTATATACTTACATAAATACATATGTGTACATGCATATATGTCATTATAAACGACTAAGGACTAGTCTAAGCTTGCGTACCTTTAGCATGTGTTTGCAAGCAATTTTGTTTTTTGGTCATGCCGCGTTTGACGGAATAAAATATTATCAGCTTGCCAAGAATTTCTGCTCGCTAGATTTGCAATGTTTCTTCACCACCAATTTTTGCTTATTTGCTTTTAATATCTTTTAATTTAAGGATGTTTGGGAGGTATGTCAAAATGTTACGAGACAAATAAAAATTTGGAGGAACGTTCCTCATTCAATTCTAAAACTCCTGTAAAAATTACAAATCGATTCACTAAACCGTTAAAAAGTTATTGAGATTTTAAAAAATTGTAATTTTACACGTCATTTTATGGAGATTCGTTGCTCGAACAGATTAAATTTATTTTTATTAACAGAAAAAAAGCTACCAGAAATTTCAAACTTTTATAATAAGTAACTTGAACTCTGGAGAATCACTTTAGCGTAAGGTTATTCAAATTCATTAAATGGTTATCGAGGAAAAAATGAAAAATTAGCTGAAAATCTCGTTTTTACTTGATAATATTTATAATTGTCTGAAATAAATGCAACTTTAAAGTTTTGATTATTATTTAAACATATTAAAAAGTTTTACGCTCATTATTAATAGAGAATGAAACTAAATATTTATTTGTTTCGAAGTTGAAATCAAGGCATATTCACTGCCAAAAGTCAGTTAAAAATTTTCCATATTATTCGTTATTTCTTATTTTATTCAGTTTTCGGTTAAATTCCAAATTTTCTCTCAAACCGTATACTTTTTTTTTTTAGTATAGTATTTATTTACCTCATGATATGCTGCAAAACCTAATTAATCACGAATTTCTAAATTTATGTACTTTTGTCCCCGATTGTACCTCCCAAACATCCTTGATACAGGGATGAGTAAAACAAACTACCTTAAGAAACTTTTAATAGTTGTTAATATTTAATATTAATGGGAAAATTAATTTAATTTTTATCCACTACAAATTACCACAAATTAGTGAGTCACCTCTCATAGTGGTTAGAGCATTGCTGCTTAAAAGCCAGAGGTCCCGGGTTCGATTCCCGGCGAGGGTGTGACAACTACAAGTGAATTGTAGTGGATAAGAATTAAATGAATTTTCACATTAATATTAAAACAAACTACGTTAGTGCTAAGGTTATCATTTTTATTTATACTCCATCTTTTAATCTACAGCCTCGGTTTTGAAATTTCAATATTATCAGTCAATTTTCAGCCTTATTTACAAAACTCATACAGACATGTATTTTTAAATCTCGTTTACTTTTCTATGATATTCGTTCACGTTTAAGTCTAATTCCAACCGTGGTTCTAAGCTTCGCCAATCTCAGTCTTGATATTGATCATACACATAACATATTTGATCTTTTAATCTACAACTTTGCTTTTACTATTGATGTCATTCGTAAAGCGTTACCAATCTTTAATTTAAAAGTTCGCTTAGCTTTTCTACGGTTTTTATATTGGTTTTGGCCTTATAAATTTAATTCTAAACTTTCAAAATATCGTAACATCGATCCTAACTTTATTTTCTTAAAGACTTAATTTCACCAGAATTTACTTTACTTTCATTCATACTCTCTTTTAGACTTATATTTTAAAGACTGGCTTCACTTTCGTATCATCTTGCCCACAATTTACAAATCCAATCTTAATATTGGTCTTTCGCGCTCAAGAATATTTTAATCTACAAAGCAATATTTTGGTGTACAAAATTCTCCCAAACAAGGAAATTAAATGGAATTCTGTGGAAATAAACTAGACAAAACATTCTAATCCAGTCTACAAACTTGTGTGCAGATGATAATAGTGTTTTGCTTTGTTCTCTTGAATTTTCGAACCCTATATTACTTCCATAGGGGCTTATCAATCTAATATTGACTGTGGTCTTAAATCCACAATTTCCACAATCTTTGCTCTTCACTTTCTTTTGTTTTACATTCTGGTCTTTGCATTTTGTGTTTTATGTTAATTTACAAACTGTATTAGTTTGTTCTTTTGTCCTTAACTTTACAAATCAAATATTAATCTTGATCTTGCAATTAGTCCTGTTATTAGTGTTATCTGTCTGTTAAGCCTTTGTCTCATTTGTAAATGTCCTCTATTAGTCACATATTTAGCCGGAAAAGTCAAACTTAGGTTTTAACCCTTTAATCCAAGTTTTGATTTTTGAGACTTATAAAAATCTCTATCTTCCAAAATAGTTTTGTTTCCTTATCGCTACAATAAATCAGATTTGAACAACAGCCATCTGTTACGGTTCTAAACGACCGGAAGTGACTGTTAAATGGTTACGTGCGAAAGGAAGGTCCTTTATGTGTGTGTACACATATATATATATAGATATATATATATATATATCTATAGAAAGTTTCCTTTCGATAACCATTACGACGGCAGTAAAGCTCCACTTCGTTTAAAAGCTCGTTTTTACGCGAGATATCGATTTAAGAGCCAACTTAAATAACTTACTTCCCTTTCAAAAAGCTCGGGCGCCAAGAGACGACGATAAAGCTGTTGGCCGGGAGGAAAGAAGGAAAACTACTTAGTGCACTTTCTGTCGGTCTGTGTGTGTGTGTGTGTGCGCGAGTGTGAGTGTATAAAGTAAAACTGTCGGACGGAAACCGGAACCTCTCTCGATTCGACGATAAATCTTAACCGGGTGTCTCTGAAGTCTAAATTACGAGCCTAAATCACTAACTTAGCGGAGGATTGAGACTAAAGAGAGAAAGCGTAGTCGAAGGATAACTTCAAGAAGAATAATAAATTTATCTGAAGCTTTTGATATTTCTTCATGCGATAATTCATGTCTTATGAAATTTTCCAAACTCCACTTAATTTTATGGCTCTACAAACTTTACGAAAAACTGCAATTGCCACATATCATCTGTCATTTCTCAAAATTTTGTTTCCTTATTGTTTAGGTTCTTGAATATATTTCACAAATTTTCATCGACTTGACTTAAGACTCCTTTTGACAATTTTTATAACAAGAATATGAATCATAAATTATTAATTTTATCGTGAACCCCTGAAACCACCCTGAATCACTGAATAATTGTAACCCCCTTTTTGAAAGAATCCTACAACTTGGTTAGTTAATGATTACATTCTTTTTGTAGAAAAAACTTTTACGGTGCTGCCAACATTCTCTCTTGGCGGATATGCTAAGGTTACGGCAGGAAAAAGACAACACAAACGTAGTAAGTGTGTATTTATATTGGCAGCATTGCAATATTAGAAGCCAACTTCAAGGAGGGTGTCGTAACCTGCACTTTTATCAAAATAAATTCGAGAACGATTATTAAAAGTGTATGATTAAAAACTGCTCTGTATACTGGTGTGAGTCATGGACGATGAATGAGCTGAAAAAAGTTAAAAAAGTATTCGAGGTGTGGTGTTATAGGGAAATGATG